GGAAGCCCCTCCCAAGGGCACGGGGCAGGCTGGTGACATGGGAGCCGGTGAGAGCCAGCTCCTGCAGGGTCTCCAGCCAGCTGCTCACACTGGAGAAGTCCTGCTCGCGGCCCGTCAGCAGGGCAGATGTGACATTGCGGAAGCGCAGGGACAATATGGGCAAGCGCTGGCCAGCCATGTCAGCCCAGTTTCCTCTCCCCTCGAAAATGCAGCTCTCAAACACCAGCTCCTGCACCTGGGTGTAGGAGAAGAACCTCAGGACTCGGGCGAGGAGTATCTCAGGCACCAGGAGGTCACCAAAAATTATTTTCCTGATGGTGAGGGAGCCCAGCGTTTCAATGGCAGAGGGGTTCAAGTCGCTGATGGGGAAGGCTATGTATCTCTCCAGCTCTCCCCCCCAAAACTCCACCACAGAGGCTGGGAGGCACTGGATGATGCTGCTTAGGCTCTCCTCGGACAGGCTGTAGCACACACAGTGCTCCTCAGTCCGATTGAAGACACACCTGCCTTCCGCCTCCAACAGCCCCAGCCCCAGGAGGAGGAGAACAGCCACGTTCATGGTGAACGGCCTAGAAACGAGGAGAGCAGTGGTGAAAAGCAGCAGTCCTGTGGCGGGGGGGACCACTCAGATCCAGCCGACGGGAGGGCTTCAGCCCCAGAGAGCCACCCCATGGGGACACAGCGCTGCCCTCACCACTCCTGCCCAACCGCCCCTTGCGTGGGTCCCGCACACCCCATCAGCACCCACCAGGCTACCCAGCCGCAGCCCGGGGCAAAGCCCCCGGCCCATTTCACCAGTGAAACACCCCAGAGGCAGGGAGTCGGTGGCACAGGTCTCACCGAAACCCAGAAGCACCAAACCGCAAGGCTCCTCCCGAGGCAGCCAGGCTCTGCGCTTTCCTGCCTGGGCTTGCTGCAGAGATTCCTGTTCCTATGTGACCAGGAAATCCCACGGACCAGGAGAAATGAGAAATGCTGACTTACGGACAGCAAAGCCAGATCTATCAGCCTGACCACAGGATGGGAGAGACACGGCTGTGTTTCTCTGCATGGTGCATGCTGTAATCTGGGGCAGGAAATTGCAACAGAGGGCTTCATATTTTCCTTTTTCTCAGACAGCCATTTGATTCATTACCAGCCTCCAAGGGGCCAGTACAAAATAGGTTTTGAGGGTCTGTACGCATCCCGGTCAGCACCGAGTGTGGCTTTCATGTCCAGCTGATGGGAGAGCCTCATCAACAGATTGCAAAAAAGCAGCAAGCAAAGATTAAAAGCTCCTAAGAATGTGCTGACTCAGCTCTGAGCGAGCACCCAGATGGGGCGGTGGCGAGGAGGTTGCTGGGGTCTCCAGTCCAACCTCCTGCTTCGAGCAGGTCTGTTGACGGCAGTAGCCCCAATCAGCCACAGCTTTTTCTGGCCATGACTCAAAAATCTCTGAGGACGGAGGTCTCCCTACCTCTCTGTGCCGTCGTGGGGCTGCACCCCCTCCCGGGGAGACGTTCTCCTCCAGCACTTGTGCAAAGCCCCTTGCTGGGGGGGGGCAGCACGAAGCAGGGGTGGGTTTGTCCAGTCACTCACCAGCCAGCTCACGACCGAAACGTTTCCTTCCCCTGCGGCCGCTTCCTTCAGCTGCTGCCAAATTCAGGGCTCAAGTGCCAAAGGCTCTGCAAGTGCTCGGCTCTCTCCTGCACCTGATCCTCCCCTGCCTGCAGCCAGATGAGACCTCAGTGCCTGCACGGGTGTTCCAGCAGCCGTTGACGCTTCCGCAGCCCTTCCTGCCTGCGCTCAGATCCACGGGGCGATAGCTGGTGGGGACCAGGAGGCACTGCCCTTGCTCCCACTGCGTGACTTCCCAAGCAGGACAGGGCTGGCTGTGCCACGGGAAGCAACAGCCACACAGACACCACCCAAGTCACTTCTGCTTTGCTTCCCTGCAGCGAGGGGCTCTCGCAGCTATGGGCTGGGAAGGGTTTTGGTCTAAGTGCCAACACCGCTCACTTTCCGAGGAAGGATCAGGGAAGAGAGTGCAGTAAAGGTGCCCTAAATGCACTCCGGGGACCAGCCCAAACACGCCTTTGCTTCCAGATGCTCTGGGCTTGCTGCGCCTCCAAGCCCGCTGGGTGCTGAGCACCCTGCCGGAGGCAATGCAGAAGGGTACGGGACTGTCATACCCGGTATCCAGACCATCACCAGATGCCTGTGTCTCATGTAGGATGGGTACAGAACAGATTCCCATCCACTGTGCATGCAGCCCGATGCTGTGAAGGGCACTTCTTCACCGGAGGTCGGCTTCCTTGGCAACCTGTCTACTTGGCTTGGCCAAGGAACTCACATCACTTGACCTGGAGGAAGGGATTGAGTGCCCCCTCAGCCAGTTTGCAGATGACACCGAGCTGGGTGGGAGTGTGGATCGGCTGGGGGGAGGAGGGCTCTGCAGAGGGACCTGGCCAGGCTGGAGCCATGGGCCCAGCCCAATGGG